TCCTCTCCAAAACCCGCGCCTGCCACGAAATCAACATTTTAGTGTGAACTCCCTGCCGCAAAAAAAACCTGCTAACCAACCAACCAACAGCCACCTGCCAGCGGCGCCAGCAGCAACCAACCATCTGACCACAACGTAGCATCCCTTTTGTGGGCCATCCGAGGTTAAAATTTAGAATAGGAAGAAGCCTATTGCAACGTGGCATGCCTTTTGTGGGCCACAGATACAGTTTAGAGTAGGAAAAAGCCATTGCAACGTAGCATGCCTTTTGTGGGTAAAATTTAGAAAAGGAAGAAGCCATTGCAACGTAGCGTGCCTTTTGTGGGCCACCCGAGGGTAAAATTTAGAGCAGGAAGGAGCCATTACAACGAAGCATTTCTTTTTGTGAGCCACCCGATGGTAAATTTTAGAGTAGGAAGGAGCCATTACAACGATTTACAACGTAGCATTCCTTTGATGGGCCATTCGAAAGTAAAATTTAGAAAAGGAAGAAGCCATTGCAACGTAGCATGCCTTTTGTGGGCCACCCGAGGGTAAAATTTACAGCCGGAAGGAGCCATTATATTACACTGTAGCATTCCTGTTATGGGCCATTTGAAGGTGAACTTTAGAATAGGAAGGAGCCATTACAACGCAGCATTAGTTCGAATTCGACTTCGAATCGACGATAATTTTTTCACTCCGGGGGGGGAACTAGTTCGAGTTTGAGTTCGAATTCCAATCGACGACAATTTTGACGCCCGGAGGGGGGGAACGCAGTTCGAGTTCGAGATCAAATTTCGAATCGACGACAATTTTGACACCGGGGGGGGGACCAGTTCGAGTTCGAGTTCGAATTCGAATTCGAATCGACGACAGCGATTTTGGAGTTCGACTCTTTCTATTCGTCCACTGGGTTGACTTCTAACAGTTCCAGTTCGAGTTCGAGATCGAGTTCGAGATCGAGTTCGAGTTCGAGTTCGAGTTCGGTTCCTTCCATATATATCCTTTCAAGGTTAAGTTCATCAATACTGTATAACTGTTTCAGTTCGAGTTCGAGTTCGAGTTCGAGTTCGAGCGGGGCACACTATGCAAAAAGTTGAAAATAGAAATATCTTAAACTCGCCACCCAGCTCAGGTACTGTACAGACATAAACGACCCCCAGCCATCATTGGACCCGACCACTTCTGGAGGGTGTTTGACTTTTGACCCTGCTTTTCGCAGGGGTTTGGACCCTGAAAGACCTTCACCGGCTTTTCCGGTCCTTGATTCTTAGGGGAAGAACAGACTTGTCTCACAACTTGTGCTGTCGGACTTGTCCCATCCCCATCCCCCACTGATGTGGTCCAATCCACACCTGTTGACCAGCACACCGCTTTTGGGTTTTGCTTCAGCCACCCATCCAGTGCTGCCCAAGATGTTTGCCCTTCGCATCTGTTCCGAAATAAACCTCCAACATTATGTGTTCCAAAAGAAACACCGGCGCCATCCTCCCCAAATCATCCAGTCCCAGTCCGGCCACACAATCCCCGTGGGTCACGAGGATCAAGTTGGCACCACCAAGCTTTCCTGCCTCCGCGAGAAGCGATGGCTGCGAAGCGAAGAAACGCAAAAAAGACCGTGGCGGCGGCGGAGAAAGATGCATCGGACAATTGCACGAAGAAAGGAGGACATGCCAAGATTTGTCTGCCTGCTTTCTCAGTTTGATCTGTGTCTTACTTTTTTCACCCTCATAGGGAACGTGTTGGCCCAGATCCTGTCCCACAGCGCCAGTGAGTGGTCTGCAAAGTGGTCCTGCATCCACCTGTGGAGAGACCTGAATTGGGACCCCTACAGTCTACAGTGGTACATGTATGGTACATATACCAGGACCTTCCAACAGGCGGTTCTTGGACACCTCCTAAACCTCTAAGAGGCTATTTACAGACACCTCTTGGAAGGTCCTGGTATGGAATGTACGGAAAAAAACAAGGGTTCTTCAACCATGTTCAACCTCTCTAGGCACCACCCAAACACCACAGAAAACACCCACATCCCCGCTCCGTGGACCGAGCTCGGTGGGGACCGGCGTCTCCTTGTCGCTGAGCTCTTCGACCCGGATGGCCAAGCGTAACTTGCCGTTCTTCTCGGGCCATTCCGGAGCGTTGCCTTCAGCCGCTGCGACGGGAGCGTTGCCTTCTTTGGTCGATCGGGATGGATCGAGGATGGATCGGCAGGATCAGGCGGGAGAAATAAATACTGAGATCCTGTAGCTGGTGTCTGGAACACCTATCAAAATCTAGTGGTTCTAGACTTGACCATCAAAAGAACAAATCCGAAACCTCTAGGCTGGTGTCGCAAAGAGCAGTCCAGAGATTCTAAACTGTATTGAAAAAATACACCAAAGTAGCCCAAAAAAGTTGAGCGTTTGCATCGGTTTGTTGATTGTTTGCATCTGCGTTGTGTTCTTGGTCTTGGTTGTCGTTTCAGGTGGTTCACACAACGGCGTTGTGTTTCTCGTCGATTGTGTCTAAATGTTCCGTTGTGTTCTTAGGTGTTTGGGCGTCCCTAGCTCATTTCCGGTAAGGTTTACACATATAATGAAAGCTAGATCCTTCTTGATCGTTTTAGCCAAACACCCCAAAAAAGAACGCCATGATCGGTTGGGGGTGCAGGTGTATTGTGACTTTCCAGCATGCTAAATTCAATAGAGCCATGATCGATGTTTATTGGGCCGATGGCCCAATTAGGCGTTCGCCAGCAAAACGGCATCTCGAAGGAAACAAGATTTTTGAACCATCACTCATTGCGCTTCTCCATGTACAGTATCTCGTCTGATTCGCGCCTATGAAGCCATCGGAGGTGAGTTTGCCCTCATCGTCCATGCCAACAATCCTGCGATGGAGCCATGACACCACCAGGACAGAGTAACAAATGGGTGGATGTATATTTATTTAAATAGGGAGACTCCCAACCATTGGGTAGACTGGTCATTGGTCGATGTCCGTTCTTCCAGGGGGCTTGGAACGCCTGGGTGGTCTCCAAGGGACCATTTTCCACGTCCATGATGAGTTCAGGGAGTGTATGTCTAGTGAGTTTAGTGAGTAAAGGTGCACGGGATTCTTTTGCTGTCCCTCCCATGTGATACATACACAGAGCCACCGGCCAATTCTCATCTGTGTTCAACTTCCGTAAGGATCTTTCGTCTATCATTTGCTGGAAATACCCAGGAGATTGAGACAGCGCTTCCTTCGTCAACAAGTGCAAGGCTACCGTAGAGGTCCACTGCTTGTCCAACACTCAAATGGCACTGTGTCCAAAGCATGAAGCCATCGCAAACGATGCAGCCTATATAGTGTGCAATGCAAATATTGCGTGTAAGTGACGTGAAAGCTGACGAGCAAGCCAGAGACTGGCCAACACCTTCCAGTGTCCCAATCAGTGGATCTAGAGCCATACCCGTGGGTCGTTCCAAGTTCGTCTGAGCGATCAATGCCTCCTATTCATCCCTCTCGCCCTCACTCAAGCGAACCCTCCGCCCCACTCACTCATCACCTCTCCCAAACCCCCCGGATCTTCCTGAAAAAAGCCATGAAACTCCACCTGCACCAGTCACTACGTACCCCCACTATATACCCTCTCTCTGCACGGCGCGCTGAGGGAAGATCTTCCCCCCACTGTATATCCAATCAGCGCGACAAAAGGTCCTTCCCCTTTCCCCCTCCTCCGAAATCTCCCCACCCCAGCGCTGCCCTCGTCGTTTCACCCGGTCGTTTCCCTCGATCCCTCAGATCCCTCCCCTCCCGTCGTCGAAACTCGACCTCGGCCGGGCCTCACGTCGGTGGGCACGTAGGCGCAAATCTCCTCGGCACTGCGCATCTTGGGCCCCGGCGGCTCCCAGGCGCCGAAGTACGCCGGAGAGAAGACCTCGCCTCGAAGTACGCGTGGGGGCCGCTGGCGGGGGGGGGAATGAAGTGTTCAGTGTGGGACAACGGCGTTCGGTGGAAACGGTTCGGTGTTGTGGAGTGTTGGGGTGTTGGGGTGTTGTGTTCGGTGTTCGGTTCGTTTTGGTTTTGACTGTGTGGTTTGGATTCAAAGATCGAATCTGTGGCCAGAGACCCAGAATGACCCAGAGAACGTCTCAGGAATAGAACAAACTGCGGTCTTCCGGTCTTCCTTCTGTAGTTTTCTTGTGTGTAAGGAACTTCTATCAAGAGATATGTAGCAGGAGGCCAAAGTCAAGCTCTAGGGAAGCTAGCCCAGTCTTTCAGCAACACTGTGACTTGGGTATGAAAAGGCAAACCCCAAAATGGACCAAGTCCTCAGGCAGGGTCCTCGTCCCAAGTCTTCCAAGCAAGAGAAAGCAGAGCAAGCAGCAACACCCAGGTCGGGTGGTTTTTTTTTGTGGTTTTGGAACCTCCCTGATGATGTACTTTCAATTCACTCAAACTGATGCTGGAAGGTTGCTGTTTCCCAAAACACCCAGTTTCCATGTGACCACACGCATTAACTCGAGTTCATCTCAAGGTTTCTGTTGTGATTACCTTCCTTCGGGTGTTCCAAAAAAAGGGAAGACTAACATCTCCGGATCTACGCCTCCTCCTTACAACAGCTGTTAATCAAACAACATGTATATACCTATATACAGTATATATAATAAGAGGTTGTGTCGTCCAAATGGGAAAGTAATTAATGCTTCATATACACCTTCTTATACCCCTTCAACCCTTCAACCTGGAGGAAAAAAAACATCCAAATCAACAGAGAAATCCCTCCCCTCTGCTCTTCGGTCTCTTTGTGCGATCAGGATGCCCAATTGCCGATCCACGCAGAGCGCACAGTGGAAGACTCGGCAAATCTCCACCGCCGTTTCGATACACCTGGCGACGTCGGTAAAAACTCCGTGGCGGCGTGGGGCGAAACGCCGGATGTGCCATGTCCCATTCGGAAGCCCGAAAAAGACAAAATGCAAATATTAATATATATATATATAACATATACTGTATATATATAACACATATAATATATATATAACATATAGTTTTTAAAACACTGGTTTTGCCAGGTTTGGGGATTTAACCAGTTCAGGGCAAGTATAAAATCACCGTAAGTAAGCAGACCTGGCTATGATGGGTCATCACCAGTCTCGACCGACCGGTTGATCCATCCGGTTTTGTCTCAGACATGGACGATGTCTCAGACATGGCTGTGGGTCAAAGCCGAATGACCCAGGTTGACCACCGACGGGAAGAACAGAATAGACGACTATATATAGGGAGGTCAACCTACTAAGGATTGGGGTGCAGGTTTTGACAAAAAATGGTGGTGCCATCCACTTCACAATGTGTTGTCGAAGTGTATATCACCCGTGCAGCAATGTTCTTGCCAAGCAGAATGTCCGCTCCCAGGCCAATCCAAGATTTTGGCATCAGTGGATGATATTGGATCATGGAAAATGTCCGTGGAAAAAACACTGGAGACACTCGGCCTGGCAAAACTGAACAAAGACACATGCAGTGTCTTAGTCGGGGTTCTCTCCATGGCGAGGAAGTGCTGGGTGCCCTCGGTCTGTTCCATCCACTCACGACCACGGCGACCAACTGGGTGCTCACTGGATGGGTCTCAGCTTCCAACGAACTGCTGGCATCTGGCACACAGACCCTTGCCATATGGGACCGACCCTGGCCGTCAGATGGGACCGAGCCTGGGGGGTGCTTCATCCCACCCAAAATGGAACAGAATCGACCACGTACCGAGACATCCCCAGATCCAGAGCCGAGTCCCAGGACCTCACCACGACCTCGCGACGGGACGCGGAGGGTCGTGGTCCGAGACGCGGTGCCGTCCGCGCGGGTCGCGGTGCCGGACCTAATCGTCCGAGCGGTGAGGACCCGCCTGATGAAGGGAGAGGAAACGACCATGGAGAAGTCTCCATACTTGGCAAAGAGCTCCTGGGTCGAGGTTCAAGGAGGTTCAAGGAGGTTCAAGGAGGTTCAAGGAGGTTCAAGGGTCCAGGGTGGATGTCTCTGGTATATTTCGTTGAGCTTGAGAAAGGGACAATAGAAAGGCCCAACAAAGAGTGGGTCGATCGATCAAAAGTGCTGCGTTTGTTCGTGTCCGTTGAATTCCTTGAAGTGTTTTCGGCCGCAACTCTGAAGGAATCACGATTTCTGGTACACCCCACCTGCTTGGAAAATGTGCGTCCAATCACCCGGTCCAAACCAGGTCCTTTTTACCTCATTGAGAAGTGTTTTTTGCATGATCCAACTTCAGTAAACTGAGGGTTCAGATCTTCCCCGATGAAGCCCACTTTTGATGCTAAATCTGCCTGTTCCAATGCTTGGATTCGGTTCCTGGATTGCTGTTGGTCACCGGAATTTCACATCCACCAGGACTGGACAAATCTGGAAAGACCACCGCTTTCCCCAGAATGTCAAAGAAAATGCCTTTGCAGAACCCAAGTTACTTCATGTTACTTCACTGTCTCACATGTATATATACGGTATATGAGATCAACCATCTTCAACCTCATCATGACAAAACATCATCACGAGCAGAGTGCCATCCTCATCCCTACATCTGTCATTTCTTTCAACCTCACCCCCCATCTTCCCCCTCCTTGGCCACGCCCCTCGCTTGCTTGGTACCCGTCAAGGTCAAGGGTGGGTCGAAAGGATATCTCCGTCCCAGCATCGACCGAAACCTCGGGCTCCGACTCTCCGGCCGGCGGGACGGCACGTGGCGGCATGTGATGCGGCACTCGTGGCGGGCACGACGTATGTCTCAGGGTCTCAGGGGGGTGCTGAAATCATCCCATCCAAGGGAAGCCCAAGGCTACGTGAGCCAACCCCCCGATTTCAGAGGGGTCGACTGGTAGACTGGCAGTAAGTCCATGAAAGCAATACGTCAGGAAGACAATGAAAACCATGAGAGTTGGCCTCTCATGTTGAGACAAACCGACCGACGCACGCTTCGAGTGAAAATGCTTTGTGCCTGGTGGCCTTCACAAGGGAAAGCTCCTGGCTTTCACAAAGAGCATCTGGCAAATCTCAGTCAGGACATGTCCAACCAAACCAGCATGCCAGGCATTGGGTACCCCAGCAGCTATGACTTTACGAAGAAGCCTGAAGCCCAGCAACAAAAACACGCCTTTTGCGGTGATTCAGCACCCAAACCATACAAATCCAGTCGACTGGACCCTCAGTCTGCTCAGTCCCCTCAGTCCCCTCCTCCCGCCCCTGCTGCTCACACCAGGAAGCCACATCCTTGGATTCGCCTGATCCGCGCGTTCCCCGTGCCGCAGCACTGCCAGTCGCAGGGTGCGTGCCGTGGCGGGCGCCTGCTTTTCTGCCGTGGCGGAGGAATGTTGGGGACGCCGAAGGCATCACTTGCCTCAAAAATGGGGTTTCCCATTGTATCCCCAAGCAACCCCCCAATTCATGGCAAATTGACTGAAAGCTGCGAGTCCTGAGGGTCTTCGAGGGTCTTCTTTTTGCAGCATCCACTTCTGGTTGGTGGTTTCAAGTCACTTGAAAAAAATGATAAGTCAGTGGGTCGAAAATAAGACCTGTCTGAAAACACCCACCTACACTTTCGTGTCCCTCCACGTTGGCCTCCTCCTCACCCCCTTCCACTGGTCCCAAAGAGTGCCTCATGTGGCAGTGTGGAGATGTCGGTGTCGTCACAAAGGTTGCACATGGAGCGACCGCTGCAGACCCCCATGGCGTCCCGTGCTGAGCCGGCGTGGCGTGTGGAGATGTGTAAAGCGGGCTGACTCGTGGAGCGGGCTGACTCCAGACGCACTGAACTTTTTTGAAACAATTCTTGTTTAAGCCACTTGGGGTACTGATACCCAGCATGTTTGTGTTCTGTTGGTTGGACTGTAGATGGGATGGATCTTGCCGTCAGGAGGTTGGCACTGTACAAATCAACTCAAGAAAGGCTCAACTCAAGTATATGCTTGCTAAAAAAGGGCTCTTCTCAAGTATTCTCAACATTGAAAGAAGGCCGTGGAAGTGTTTAAACATGAAACTTTGGCCATCCACTGCAGTGGTGAAGAGAACTGTCTTGATCCATCCGCCCACGACTGCCCAGAATGGCTCCAGGATGCCCAAAATGAGGTCTTTTGGTGCGGACAGGAGATGGCGTTCGCATGGTTCGATGTCTTGCAAGTTATATAGTCCCTATACTAGCCTTTTGTAGAGGCAAATGACCATGTCACGGCTTAGTCACTGTAAATGCTATAGAGAAATCATGATGCCTCATTTTTGTAAACAAAGTTCATGCCCCTCCAAGTAACCTAGTGCGCACGCAAACCCTAACTTCATGGGAGCTTGAGCTTAGACTGAAATCATATGATATGAATATCATGAATATCAATGTCTCCCAAAATCGACACTTTAAGAGGTCTCAATGTCTCAAGCTCTCCCTTTAAAAGTCTCACCCAAAACCACCAAAAGCACCCTGGGGCGCCTCGGGCGCTGCGTCCAAGATGAGTTGAGGCACCTGGACCGATCCCGGTGGCGCCGCCGACTGCGAGGAGCATGTCTCAAAGCAGTGGAGGACCCGCAAACTAAACAAGTCCCAGGCCCCCTAATTAAGTGATGTCTAATAGTCCCTTAGATGGGTTTTTGTTTTTTGTGGGAGGGTCTATTCCACCATCCGTTAGGGGGCCCTGGTCTATTCACATACACAACGACCCATGAGCGCAAACGGTGTTCAGTTCTGAAGTTCACGGCCGCGGAAGGGCGGGTCCAGGACTGAGAGGTGGCGTGGTCAGTGATGAATGATGTGGCTAGTCGAGGCTGGGTATGTATATCCCATTGATATACAGTACCAGTTTTCAGTTGATGATGGCGAAGTTGCAGGCCTTTCTGAAAAAAATGTGAGAATCGTTAACCCCTTCCTGTTACCGGGAACGGGACGCAATATCATGCATAGGGTGTGAGCCTCAAAACTATTGTGGACTTCCAAGTGTTCAAGCCACGCCCGCTGCGTGCAGTTTCGTTGGCCAGGCGATGTTTGCGATTGTTCCTGCAAAAGGAGTTCATACGAATGTGTATTCTGAAAGGAAGACCCACTGGCCCAATAGGAAGACTGGCCTGCCCCTGAACCTTCCGTTGCCTGGGAGGTCTCACGGTCTCACACTTCGCATACACACCTATCGTATGGTTTCTTGGTGCGGGCGTCCTAGCTGAAGACTACCGAGTAGAATCAAATTAGAAGCGAAAGCATGCGGTCGACCTCTGCCTCCAACAGGTCCCTTCCGAAGCTCGGCGAGACGAACGATCCTCCGCGCGCACGCGACGACGACGGAAAGCACCTGGGTGGATTTTCCACAGCCGGTCTCACCACTCAGCAGCACGACCTGGTTTTCCTTCACCGCATTGATCTTAGCCACCAGGGCTGCTCAAAGCCATGTGGAGACTGAAGAAGGGTTCTGGAGATGAAGCTGCTACAAGTCTTTGGGGAAGTTCTCAGACAGCGGAATGTCACTGGGTTGGATTGCGCAACAAAGGATGAAAAGACTGAGCGCATCCTACCTTTCTTGTATCTACGCCAATACACTGTGACTCACTCACATGCAAGTGGATGGCATGGTCCCTTTGTAAACGTCTTTCCTTTACGAACGGGGGTAAACTCCACTTCCATAATATGTCTAAGAGTCAAAACCTGGAGCCCGTTTCAACACATTTAAAACAAAAAAACATGTCAATTGTATTGTATGTGTTGTTGTTTGTATTGTTTTTTGTTGGCCTAAGAAAGGATTCACCTAGTCATGAGAGAAAACACCAATGGGCACTAGAATGTCACGGCTGGCAGATGTGTCTGGCTTGTACCAGACACACAGGTCTATGTGCATGTATCACTTATCACTACTCATCATCACATAAACCCACTGGACAGGCCTTGGGTGAATCATAAACCGTGTCTGAGAAGCTCCAGAGAAACCTCACGCCAGCCACTACCATATTTGTGGTTCTGTCTATTTTTTGGGGGGGGCCGAGTCTAGCAGGTTCCAATACCGACCATGACAATGCCCATGAAGACAAGTTGCCACTTGTTCTCGTTGCTTAAAGGCGGGAAGTGCCTGTGCCGAGCGTTTGAGATGATGCGCTCCCACTCCAGGGGATCCCAACGCCAGAGTCATGTGACACTCGAAAAAAGATATCGTGGACACAGAGATGGATCCCCCATGTGATAGCTTCATAGCAATCGGCTTCAGCTGTTGACATCTTGCTGTGAAGCAAGCAATGCCGCTACTAATTAGAGGATGTACCTGCATCTCGAGGCTAATTATGGTCTGCAAAGAAGCGATCATATATTGAGTATTTGTTTGTTATGTATTGTTTCCTGCGGAATTGGGTCAAACAAAGCCCAACTGCTGAAACCCCGACAGCCCCAAAATCTTCAATCAACAAAAATGCAAACATTGAATTAAACTGGATGCCACTTGCGGTTCACCCACACTGCAAAACGTCTTCTATCACCCTCATTCCGAATGCGCACCACGGCGGATCGTCACTGTGGACACTCGGGTCGCAACAGTAAAACCTCTTCTACCCCACATGCTCCGGAAGGTTCGTCCCTCGGCTAGAGCAGTGTCGCCAGCGTCCAATGGTAAAACCTCTTCGTACTGGCCCTGTGTATAATCCACCAATCAATTCACCCCCAACCCAGCCGACCCAGCCCACCCACCTGACGTCCCGGGCGCCTCTCGCTTCTCGCCCAGTGCCGGGTACTGCGGCAGCGCCCGACCTCAGAGCTGCCCGGAAGCGAATGCGTGTCGGAGGATGCGCTTCAGCAGGAAACTTCTGAGGCCACATATTCAGAAGAGTTCGGGTGTTACATATTTCATGGCATTTCAACCGCCAATGTAAAGGAGATTGCCATTATAAAAGTGTCGTGAATGGCCAGAGTTTTAGCTGATCTCGGACCAGTCGTGGATCCGCTTGCACCAGAAGCGAAGGAAAGCGGCAGTAAAGGTGCACAAGGAAAGCGGGAATGAAGGGAACATCTCCGACTCATTCTGATGGCGCATGAGGGACGGGTTTGTTCAGCAGTGTGTTGTGTCCAGAAGAAAGTATTGGTCAAAAGACATGGCGCAGCAGTCGTTTGGGTTGGGAAGGTTCGCGGCAAAAAGGCATGGATTCGTCCAATTTTGCACAAAATTTGACCAAATGGTCAAATGTTTTCAGGGGATCCAAGAATGATCACGAATGCTTTGGAACATGAATGACACCCTTTTGGGGGAGACGAAACCATGTGAACAATGGCCTTGTGCCACAAAGAGAGAAGTATACACAAATCAAGTCCTTGCTTTCAAGAATGGGGATGCAACCTCGAATACATCGACATCTGCGATATGCTCCGGGTTGTCGACACATCTTAAACCATCTGTCATACACGTGTCCTTGCGTGAAACCAACAAGTTACAGTAATGGTAGTTTGTGGCTTTGCTGTCTACAATTTGTTTCCTAAAAACGTTGTTGGGCAATGTGAAACCATAGCTCCGATGCTCTCGCGTCATCTCGTCTGGTCGTCTCACAGACTCGAAGCTCACCGACCAAACGACCGAGCAACTGATCCAAAGGAGGTGTATGTGAACCGTGTCCTGCTGAGGACTTTTTAGGTCCAAAATTGGCAAAATCAAAGTACCGTTGAAGGATACCAACATGATTGAACTATATACCAATCTCCAATGCACCCAGACATCATCAACCATTCAAAAAGAAAAACACAAGTTTTTCAGGTCGGGTCCATGACGTCATTCTTTCCGCCAATCAACGTGGAGGTCGTTTCTGCCGATCAACGCCAACGTCGCCGCTGAGAGCCCGCCCAAATTCCTCCAAGAAGCGTTCTTCGAGGGCAGACTCCTTAGAGAATGGATGATTGTTTGACCAGTCGAAGACCTCATTTGGCTCTAAGTTACCAGGGTTCTAAGTTGAACGACCCAACCCGATTTTGCTGGACTTGGTCAGAACATGTCAGAACAAAGTTTGAGTTTTCCTGGTGAAACTTTGATGTGGAACGACCCAGTTCAAGGCAAATTGACAGTTCCAAATTAATAAGGGCTTAGGCGTTTAGTGACAGTTTTCAGCAAACCCATTGTTAGCAGCATTGAAGCCAGCAAACTACAGGCTTTGAGGCTGCTTCCCTACTTAAAACTTGATATGGAACGAGCCAAGTCAACGCGAATTTGGGAGGAACCCGTTCTTCACAACTCTAAACTAACAATGTTTAGGCGCCTAGCGTCAATTTTCAGCTTGATTTGCGCGAGTGCGCAACGGAATCGAAGCCCTGCCGCGTTCCAGCGGGCAGGGTGGCCCCAAACTCGGAATTGGAACCCCAGTTATCCTCTCTCATTGACATGATTTTTCAACTCGCGCGCTTGACGCTCGCTCAATCCTTCGGGCACTCGCTCGCGTCTGCACACGTGCAGGCTTGCGGTATTGAGGTTTATGTGAGATGGAACATTTCGCACATCCAGGCCGGCGAGATTCCAAAAGGAACAGTCAAAGACCTGAAGAAACTCAACAAGTCACTTCGGTTCCCAAAGCAGCATGCCAACCTGACGCTGCAGTTCATGGCAAAGAATGAGAAGAAGAAGAAGAAGAAGAAGGATGCCACTTTGAATGGGCTTTGTTTGGTGTGGTATGCGGATGCAGCCTTTTGCGTCCGAGCTGACAAGACAAGCCAAGGCGGCTTTGTGATCTTTGCGTGTGAAATGGAGTTCTGAGCGGGCAGAAATGCCCAGCTTCAATCATGTCCTGGCGAT